GTCGATAAATATTGGCGCCCCAACAAAAATCCTAAAAGAATTGTTATTAAGGTGTACCATGAATGTAAATTTCAAATTCAATGACACAGGATACAGACAAATGGATGGGGTAGCGATTGGCTCCCTATTGGGTCCCATTTTGGCAGATTTCATCCTAAGTAAACTAGAAAATGGAACTTTCAACAACCTAACCATAAAACTCTCAAATATTTCCAGTATATGGATGACACCTTTATTCTATGTGATAGTCGTTTGAATAGGAACACAACAATAACTGAATTCAATGAAGTACATTCTGCTTATGAAATTCACGTGCGAAGAAGAATCCCAAACCAGAATTACCTTCCTAGATGTCCACCTTACAAGAAAACCAGATGGTAGCATACGAATAAATTTGCATAAGAAAAGCACATAGACAAGACAACATACACATTTTCACATCTTCATACCTCTCCAGTACAAAAGGAATTTAGTAAAGACCCTCAGCAGCAGGGTTAGAACTATATGCTTAGAAGAGGCAACTGAAGATGAATTAAGCATTTTATATGATATCTTGATTGATTGAAAATAGCTATTCAGACAAACTAGGAAATTTTAAAAGGCCTACTCACTATCCGTAAACATACGACTGCGATTCAAGAGCCATTAAACCTAGCGAAATAAAATTACGAAGAAATTAAGAAAATCAGTTCAAAGAACGTTTAATGCTCGTAAACTACAAGTCATAATTTCTACACAACCAATGGTGATTCCTCGACTGAAAGATGAAGTACCTAGACCAGCCACTTCCAAATGTATCTACGCATTCAACTTCTCTTGTCGTGGAGCGAGTTATATTGGCCGTCTCTCTAGGAACTTGATTTTTAGTGCTCGCTCGGGAACACCTACCAGTGTGGATAAAAAAAAGGTGTAGTGAGAAGCGTCAACAGGTCGATATATAAGCGCATCTGGCCCAAAGTGACCAGCCACAAACCTAACAGTGAAGAGTTCTACTCCATCATCATCTGTCGGATACCAGAAAAATTGCCAAAAACATTCAGTTACCGCATACTCCAAACAACAACCGAGGCTGCTATCACGATTAGCCCGAAACAACTGGTACTCCGTGTGTGCATGAGACTATAAATTCATGAATTTCTATTATTATTTCTCCTAATCTGTCTGTCTGATATTTAGTGTGGTGCAGCGTTATGTTGACGCTATTGAGTTGTAATCCATTGATATTATTATTATTATTGATTCGATGTTATTTAAACAATATTCATCTTATTGAATTGGATTTTTTGATTTTCCCGTTGATTGATTGGACCGAAGTGCTCGGTCTACTCAGGTTGACATGTCGGCTTCTTCTTGTGCAGATGCTTCGACGATGTCTGGGCATTTAGTTAGGATACAAACGCTTTGGCGTTTGAAACTATGGGTAGTGGGTTCGAGCCTCGGTGGGAACATCATCACTCACTGAGAAATGCAGGTACATCCAGATGACGAGTCCCAAATAGGACGAAATGTGTTTTATCCTGGATTCCACTGCTAGTCACCATCCACCAATTGTATCCTAACATTCATCTTGTTAGTAACACTAATTTTTTCACTAATATGGATGTATATATATATATATGACTGTAGAAGCTGATGAAGAGGAGGTTATCGAAAAGAGTATCCTTTGTTCAGTAACCACTCTTTTGACAAATATTTTAATGAACATTTTTAATCTTTTATTACCAAAGGGCAATATTGAGGTTGGAAACCTCATCAGTCCCCCCTCTCTTCTTCAAGCCTCTTGACATCACTTAACTGGCACAAACGAATTTCTTCTGAAATTTGATTAAAAATTTATGCTAAAAAAAAGTAATGAAAGTAAATGACCAATAGTCTGTATTCGTTCTGTTGTAGCGTATGCTACTGACAAGATCTAAAAGTAGTATATAGATAGAAATATAAATATTTACATCATTTGCAATAATGTCGGATACCACAGAGATGAATTTAATGAATGATGCCTCTAAAACAACACGGAAAGCATGAAAAGAAGACAAGGCAGAACAACAGAGAAGATATTTGCGAAATATGATTCTAAAGTGTGGCAGACGGATTTTGCCTATGCGGGTGAATCGTGTTGTCAATAAGTGATTCGGTTATCAAATTCCCCTGGCTTCTGCCGGTACACTTTCACGTAAGCTATCCTTTTATATTCCTAAATTTGTTTACTTATCATGTTTATTTCAGAGATTTGGTAAGGTTACAAAAAAGGAATTTTAAAAGCCTACTGAAGACGCTCTATAAAACATCCGACGGGAAAGGATAGGCAAAAAGAACTTTGATAGCAGAGAAGCCTAACAAATACTCAGAAAGATTAGACATCCACTGAAGAGCCCACTGAGTGACACCATCAGACACCAGGCGTCAATGATCCAGCAGTAGAATGCGCACCGGCCACGCCTCATATGGTCCAAGGTTCAGTCCCCGGCCACTGGATGCACTGCTTTACTAGAACAAGACATATAAGCGAACAATATTTTTTTCAATTAGATTTTCTTCAGGCTTTACTCTAATTTACATAGATTTATATATAAAAAATTTTAACCAGTGACGGTGATTTTGTGGATCAAATAATAATAGTAATAATAATGTGGTAAATGTTTTCAACGAAGTTAATAGCGATGATTATAATAATAACAAAATATTGTTAATAAGGCTTATATAGGTGATAAGAATAACAAAGTTAGTATATGCATATATGTAGACAATTCAATAAATAAATAAATTAGGTCAAATCAAATGGGACGATAATCAGAGTTTAAATAAATATCATAAAAGTACTAAGGTGATGGAAAATAAGAAAGGGTGGGAATAGAATTTTGAATAGAATTCACCTAGGCAACGCAAGGGAGAGACAAAAGTCGAACAAACTTCTTTTCCTGTATGCAAAGACACTAGGATTGTTCTCTCGAATTAATTCCCATAGCTTCAGCTAGGTGTAAAAGACGGGTTCTGCTGATTCCGTTCGAAAGACTCGATGGAATGCGTTAGATAACTTTGAAGGCACTATTTTTGTCCACTTGGTGACCGCTATCATCAATCAAATGAGCTAAAATAGAACTTCGTATGGATTTTATTTGACCTTTTCCGAACCATGAAGGATGGTGCTCATTAATGCGTTTGTTAAGCTGTCTAGTTGTTCGGCCTATATAGCTTTCTCCACAGGAGCAACTAAATTTATAGATACACATGGAAGTGGCACAGCTAGATAGCTTATCTTTCACTTGAGCAATCAAAATTGGTCCTTTACCTCTCTAAGCCAATAGTAAGACTGGTAAAGAGGGAAAGTTGGGCATGAATGAGGCTAGCAACCCCACTCCCGCCCCGTAAAAATAAACACCACTACTACCGAAACTTCAAGCCCCTAGCTTGACGCCCCCTATGTTCCATTAGGAACGCAAAGGATGAAAAAATCATACACCCGAATCTCAAGTGCCACCTGAATGGAGATTGACGAGTTGGAGATGTATTCAAGGATTACACTGACGAGGAGGAGGGGGGGACAGGAAACGTGGAAGCTTGTGAGCAATTGTAAGAGTAACAAACGCAGTAGAGATGTACTGCAGAAGTCCCATGTTCCAGTTGGAATGTGGAGAAAGAAGAACAAGTAATAATAATAATAATTTAGACGAAGCAATAAGAAGACGTAATTTGTCTGAATCGTCTTATGGCTTTTGCGCAACAATGATTTCGAACAGTCGGATCACATGTGTATATATGAAATTAATAATGAGTTAAGAGGTGAGAAAACAAATTTAGGTTAATCTAAAAGCACGTATTTCTGCCCTGTTCGGTACAAAAGAGCCTCGGTAGGGCGCCTCTACTAAGTAAGGCGTGTACATCAAGCTACCATATATGGAGGATCGTAGCACCTTGATAACTAGACAAAGACTGAACGTTGCTGTTAAAAAAACTTTTTATGCAGCCAATATGTGAAGCTAATATATCCATCCATCCATTTAAGCCCTTTGAACATGCAAAAAATGATGTCACATCCCACTGTTGTATTTACCAATTTGAATGTGCGTGTGGACTCACACAAATACATAGGGAGGACTCATCGATCTCTGCAAGTAAGGGCTGGCTTCAGAGCATATTCCTAAATGGCTCCAGAAACAAACAAAGAACCCATTAATGGTGAGAACAGACGACAACCCAGCTGCTCTATTGCGAAACATATTATAGAGACAGGACATAAAATTGACGTTAACACATCTTTTGAACCTATTTATAAAACGTGTTTGGGACATATCCTAAAGTTTGTGGAAGCCCTAGCTGGCAATTAGAAAGTTTAAACCACATTTATGCGTTCAAAGCGACAATTCGTCATCACATTAAACCTTTCTTGGTAAATTTTGTTTTGATGTACTATTACCTCTGCTGTTTGGTTTAGTGATCCTTGAATATGTCCTTTTAACTTGACCTAAGTCTATTTTCCCACCTCTTACCTCTTTATTAATTTCACATATATACATATTATTCCTAAGAAAAGTTCGTTTGTAATCAGATTTTTCCAAATATGTTGCGCAAATACAGCATTACACGCACGATTCAGACAAATTACGCCTTCTTATTGCTTCATCTAAAGACATATTGAAGGTCAAAATAACAATGAAGATCCATAAACCAAAGTTTACCAAAGAAGGTGATGGTTTAGTTAGTGTGATGATGAATGGTTGCTTTAAACACATAGAAGTGGTTTAAACTTTCTAATTGTTGCCTAGGGCTTCTTTCCACAAACTTTAGGATACACCCTCCCCTAAAACACGTTTTATAGATAGGTTTAAAAGACGTGTATAAAGATCAATTTTATGTTCTGTCTCCTCTATAATATGTTTCGCAGTAGAGGAGCTAGACTGTCGTCTGTTCTACCCATTAATAACAGTAATAATAATAATAATATTTTGTTTAAATGTAGGCATTAAAGCATTCAAAACACACTGTGTTATATGAATACTTACCACTGACTATACTTAACACGAAAAGTGAAAATAAAGCCACTCTTAGTACAACTGATGATGACATAATGTTTTTAGCAAAGTTGTATAGCTAACAAAAATGTAATCCTCACAGCAATAATACAAGTTAATATATCAGTCTGTAACAATTGAAAAGAAAAACAAGAAGGACTCCAAGGAGAGTTGCTCTTTTCCTCTTCTTCTAAAGTGGTTAATGATTTCAAGTGTAATTTATGTCTGTTAATGATTGCGTAATGTAAATAAACTAGAGTAAATAAGTGTTAGTTGTTTATTCATTCACTTAAGTAGATGCTTGAGATCACTTGTCCTACTTTGCACACACACACACACCGTCCCAGAGTCCTTCAACAGACATACACATACACACAAAACAAACACTTGATGCTGAACTAGATACCACATCCTCAACAGTTAGTCAATTATCTGAATACCAATGTCTTTTAACTTCAAGGAGATTACGTCCTCAATATATATATATATATATATATATATATATATATGCACTAGAATACTGTAATTTATAAGTAATGAATATTGTAACTGTATACTAAATTAAGCCTCTTATTGTCAACTATATATTACGTAATCTGTGTTCTATTATCTAGTATACAGTAATAGATTTTTTTTTCCATTGTAACATATAGAAAATCAAAACAAGTGGTGATTCAGCGAAGAGACTCTTTTCAACAATGAATGTATCATCAAGCTGTACAGTCGTATATGTATGGTTTTTAAGCGTTTATATCCCGTGAGGGAATTGAATCATAGGTGTGGATACATGAAATAATAATAATAGTATGAAATGCGACTAAAACTAAAATGTTTTTTATTGAATTGAATTTTTGATTTTCCCGTCGATTGATTGGACCGAAGTGCTCGGTCTCAGGTTGACATGTCGGCTTCTTGTGCAGATGCTTCGACGATGTCTCGATGGGAACACCATCACTCACTGAGAAATGCAGGTATATCCAGTTGACGAGTCCCAAATAGGATGAAATGCGCATCCTGGATTCCACTGCTAGCCACCATCCACCAATTGTATACAAATCAAATCCCCAGACATCGTCGAAGCATCTGCACAAGAAACCGACATGTCAACCCGAGACCGAGCACTTCAGTCCAATCAATCGACGGGAAAATCAAAAATTCAATTCAATAATTAATATGACCCGTTGCACAAGAGGTGGCTCTCGTGGCCCAAGTGGTCTGTCTAGTGGATAACGCTTTGGCGTTTGAAACTATGGTCACTGGGTTCGAGCCTCGGTGGGAACATCATCACTCACTGAGAAATGCAGGTACATCCACTGGCTGACGAGTCCCAAATAGGACGAAATGCGTTTTATCCTGGATTCCACTCCTAGTCACCATCCACCAGCTGTATAAAATGTTTTTTGATTATAATCATAGTCAAATGTCAAGTGGAAAAACAAATTAATCTCATATATAGAATAATAGTAGTAATGATAATAGTAATAATAATAATAATGGTCTTATCAGTGATAAGGATGAAAAAGTGAGGTAATCTATGATAACACGAATAATGAAAAACAGCATGATTAAACAAACAAATGTTCAGGTAGAAGTAGTAGACGATAAAGGCTAGTAAAATCAAATGAACCGATTAAGTAATGCTAGACTGTAAGGGAAGGAAATGAGACACGTTTATAACGATGATAAGATCAGGGGTTAAAAATATAAATAAGGGGTGATGTAGAAGTCTTTAGTTGGTTATGTCTTAATAGGCCAGCAAGAGAGAGTTAACGGCTCTACGAACTTCTTTTGAATGCATAGTTCAGGTTTAACAGTTCGAATGTCTATCACCTGCCTCAGTTGTGTGCAGTAGACGAATACGAAGTCTATTGGAAAGATTCGGTGGGATACGATGAATTATCTTGAAAGCTTTCGTTTTCTCCACTACATGACCACTATCAACTAAACGTCACAAAATTGAGCCTTGGATCGTTTTTGTTTGTCCTCTGCCAAACCACAATGGGAGATGTTCACTAACTGTTCGGCTAAGCTGTCTAGTAGTACGCCCAACATAACTGTCGCCGCAGGCCCAGTTGAAGTGATAAATACACATAGATGTGGCAAAACTATCAAGCTTATCCTTCGTTTGTCTCCCAATCATTCGTCGCCTACAGAATGACAAACATAGGTGTGCTGCGTAAAATGTTCTACGTATACACCTTGAAAATCTTTGGAATAGAATCTCACTTGATAAGTCACCATTAAATTGTAACTTAATAAATAGAAGTTTCTTATGTTCAGTCAGAGTCTCAGGTTTTTTCTCTGATGTTTTCATATGTTTCTTTATGAAACTACTCGGATAGCCAGCCGATCTCCGTCAAGGAATCATGAAAATATATTCAAATTCCTTTCGTAAGAGGTCATTCGTACACATCTTTCTTGCTCTCCTTGAAAGACATTTAACAACATTTCTTTTATATTTAATGGGCGCGTAACTATGGAAGTGTGTGTGTTGCCCTGTGAATGTGCTTTTTCTGTACACACTTCTCCCAAGTGACCCATCCTTCCCTTCCAATCTAACATTACTTAATCGGTTTATTTGTTTTTACTAGCCTTTATCGACTACTATGTCCACCTGAACAATTGTTTGTTTAATCATACTGCTTTTCGTTATTCGTGTTATCACAGATTACCTCACTTTTTCACCCTTATTATTTATTAAGACCATTATTATTATTATGTTGACTAATTGCACAATTTATATTCACCATCGTATTATCCTATAGACAAAACACCATGATTGGTCTATATTTGAATTTTTATTTGTAAAATTATATATATTAGAGTTAAGCCTAATGAGATCAAATTGAAAACAATATTGTTCGCTTAAATGTGTTGGTCTAAATTTTACTATGAGAATATTTATATATAGAATAGAATATATATAGAATAATTCATAGGATATATAGAACTCGAAAAAGGGTGTACAATTATAGGATTAGTAGACAAATCGAATACAATAAAAACGTTACGTAATATTGTGTGAAATTTAATAGCATAGAATTTAACGTTGTAAAAAGAAAAGAGAATTGATTTAGAATGACAGGCGGAACAAGTGAAATAATACCGGGGACAGTTCAAAGTGAGAATAGTAATACTGACAATTGACGTAATAACGAAGAGTATACAAATTGAACAGACAAAATGAAAAAATGGAAAATTGGTAGCGCAAAAATATGATTCGGGATTACCACACTTTAGCATAGAGGGATTAAGACCGCGGAAGTTGGAGGGGTTGAACGAACTTTTTCTGTGCACATAGATCTATCTTTTCTGTTTCGATATCCAAAGCTTCAGCAATACAGATGAGTCGGGTACGTAGGGATTTGGGTAAATTACTTTTTGGCTTGTAGATGACTTTAAAGGCGGAGACTGTAGAGATAGGGTGATCATTATCGACCGGATGTTGAATGATCGCCCTTCATAATGCTCCCCTTCCACCTCTTTGTAACCTCCATCAAAATAGTGTTCTTCCACCCTCTTGGATAAAACTTGAGTCGACCGACAGATATACCTATCTTCACACGAGCAGGTGAATTGATAAACACAAATAGATTTGGGCCACAGCGGGATCATGTCCTTCAGGTTATTGAATAGTAATGGTCGACTAGTAAAGGCTATTCTCAAAGATGCGGCAGGGAATTTTCTTTTCAGGGACTGTGATATCCTTCGTTTCATGTTATCGGAAGCTAAGTCGCCTTTGAATTCCAAGCTCATGTAAAGTGTTTTCTTGGGTACGGATATAACTTCAAGGGATTTAACTTCTTAAAAACTATATATATATATGCATATACGACTGTACAGGTTGATGATAAATTCGTTGAAAAGAGTCTCTTCGCTGAATCACTTGTTTTGATTTTCTATAAGTAATGGATTTATCTATTTCAATTTCAACATTTCTTGACCAAGAAATTCAAATTAGAACCAATGTGCTACTTAGAGGAGGATATGCTAGGAGTGCAAGCCTAAGCCTGGCTTCTATAGTACATAAAATTCCAAAGAAAAATATCTAGAAACATATTGATGGAGTTGCGATGAGGTCACCAGTATCCCTGATAGTGACAGATTTATTCTTGGATAGGTGAGAAAACTTAGACAATAGAGCTTTTAGTAATAATCTGGAATAATATATTAGCAGGTTAAGAATCCTCGTTAGGCTATATATAATAAAGGTAATTTCAGGGGACAGTTTGTACGATTTCATATGTATATCTTATTACTCTCTTGGGTTCCAAGTGGAACATACGGCTTCAACAACACATCTCCACTCTCTTCTATTTTCTGATGTCCTCTTCAGCTGGCTGTGCCTACGATTGCCCGTAATCTGTCATCTATTCCTCTTCCTCCCCAGACACACTAACTCCTTCATGTCACCCTCACACTGACGACCCACTTGTCATTTCCCATTCAGGTCCCACTCGAACGATGGCCTGCCTGCATTGCACGTGATGTCATTCGACGACCTCTGTCGTCAATGTATGCCGACTGATGCATCTGCATTTTCTCCTACGTATATGTGTTGGACTCTTGGTTGGTTTGTTCATCACCAGAGTTTCTTCTCGCTAACCACCCAGCCAGCTAGCTAGCCAACTGATCCTCAATATAAAGCCATCGAAGGTAGGTGTTGATAAAAGTCTACAAATGGCTGATGAAAATACTTTCCATGACGCGCAAGCCTAGTTACTAACCAACCTGTATAGAAGAACACACTGATTGACGGGATTCGCATTTGTGTTTGAACAGAATTCGAATCTCGTGGTCTATGCCGGCTGGCTGAAGCAGAAGAATTCCAAACTGATTTCAGGTTGATGACGGCGTATCTTGTCAGTTCGATTCTGATTGGCTATCCAGCTTTGACATCTTCATCTGTACTGTCTGACTGCCTGCCTGCCTGCCTGCCTGTGGTTGAAACTGTGCTTCCTGACCAGATAAGGGAAGGAAGTAACATTTTCCAAATTTTTCCCGTTGTTGGTGATTGGTGCCAGTCGTTGTTGGTGTACAGTCTTCTTACCAGTC